AGCGACGCTGATTCAGCCGGCACCCGGCAAATTCTGATCAGAGTTGGCCAAGCACCTTGACCTAGCAGAACCTTTGACATGAGGGGGGGGGGGGGGGGGGGGTATTTTTCACAAATTGGTGAACATCCCTCCCCACCTCCATGATTTTTATATTTAGAAAGCTTGCTTTCTTGTTGTAGCAATGGCATCGTCTCATTTCAAATGGGTAAGTTGTTTGATCAGTTGTGTGAAAACGAACGGGGCTGTCGCGAGGCCGAAAGGTAGCGAGCGGAATATGTATGTCTTTCCGTCGAATCGAAACCCCAGGTACTTCCAGCATGATGGGTGAATATCCACGTGGTGATACTCAGACTTCAGGTCGATAGAGAACATCCAAACGCCCGGGCGAGCGATCTCCGCAACCCGGTTGAGCCCCTCGTATTTGAATTTTGGAATGCGCAAGTGCAGGTTCACTTGGCGGAGGTCGAGGATCAGTCGGCATTTCTCTCTCTGGACCACCACGTTTAGTGGGCTAATGCATATAGCCTGATCCGCGGGGGTGAGAGCCGCTGCGCCGCTTTCCAGGAGCTCACAGATAGCCTGTTTGGTGAACTAGGCGTGGATCTGTGCGCCCGCATGGTTGTCCCGCTGGAACAGCACCGGGGCGGCAAGTTTCCACGGCATCCAGTAGCCGTGTACGATTACTGATAGTATGAAGGTGCTTTCGCACCATGAACTCCACCATGGAAATGCCGCGCGTAGTCGCCCGCGCATCCTTGTTACGAGCTCGTCTGTGATCGCGTATTCGTAGGGAATGTGCTGCTCGCCCATCCCGATCTCCGGTGTATCTGTGCCACGGGTCGCAGAAAGGCACGGACTGTGAGTACGCCTCTTTTTTTTTTTTTTTTTTTTTTTTTTTTTTTTTTTTTTTTTTAAACGGGTGCTTATTGTCCTTGATACGATTGCATGTACCAACAACGAAGCCGTGTGTGGATGAGCCCATACCGGATATGTCGTTTGCGCACTCCTCACCTTCTCTTCCGGATTGGCCCGTTTGCTTCTCTCTCTCACTCTCTCTCTCTCTCTCCCTCTCTCTCTCACTCTCCCTCTCTCTCTTCTTCTTCCTCGTCTTCTTCTCTTTCGCGGTGTTCAACAAGCCCTAGGTGGGCTGCCGTATCGTGTCTCGTTTTTTTTTTTTTTTTTTTTTTTTTTTTTTTTTTTTTTGGCGTGCCTTGTGTCGCGGGCTATTTTCCCGTCGTGGCAATTGCGCGTAGTAATATGCCTGCCCCTCTCCATCTGTATGCCTCCTTGTGTGCTTGCCTTGCTAGTGGCCCTCTCTTGTCCCATTAAATTGGGCGGGTGCTGGCCGAATCATGTAGCCTCCTTAAACAATCCCCATCATTTCGCACTTCGCACTTGCTCGCTTTCTTTCTCGTCTTACTTTCCCCCCCCCCCCCCCCCCCCCTTTTTTTTTTTTTTTTTTCGCCGGCAGCAGATACCTCCAGTCTTTGAGGCTTGCTTGCTTCAACAATCCAGGTTTCAAACGTTCAAATATTATTCATTGGCCACGTAACAACAATCATCCAAATTTAATGCCCTTCCGGCCCATATTCCATACGCATAGATCTCATGATTGCCACTCATGGCTAAAACCTAGGACTCCTAGTCCTACCCCCTTCACTTGGGGTCGGCCGGCGGCCGTTCTACGCGCTCAACCGATCTGGCCAGCGGCCTAAGTGCGCCGTGTTGCCCATGCAACATCCTCTCGGCGCCCCCAAGTGATTTCCCTCTCAAGGGGTCACACCACCGGCGCGGGACCTTGGGGTCCCCGCCCATTTTCAGGGCACACATTGGCCATGTGGCCTGACTGCCCGCACTTGAAGCAAGTTCCACGAAAGCTCCTGCCGTTTTCGTCCATTGGCGGCCCGCGTTTGTTGCCAAATGCTCCGGTTCCTCGCCCTCCACCGCGTGCGGCACGACCGAGATTGCCTTGCGCGCGTTCTATGGCCGCAACGTCCGCCATGGCTTGCTTGAATGGGCGTGAGGTGAACAAGCTCTTCTCCTCGTACATCTTGAACCGGTTAGCAACGCGGAAGTTCGTGTAATCGGCGACGTGAAGAAGCTTGAAACGATTGTTGACGAGCGTGAGTGCCTCATCGAGAAGTTCGATGGCACTCGCCGGTTCGTTGAGTCGCACCTTCTGTTCCGCGTGCATCAGGTAAGCGCGCAGGTCCTCGAGGAGCTCGGCTTGCTCACGGACAGCCGCGTTCTTGAATGAGGATGCGGTGAGGTTGGGGTTGGAGGTGGGAAGAGGGGGAAGGTGCTCGGTGGTCGAAAAAAATGCATTATCAGCACGTGCCTCACCAGCTTCGTCGTCTGAAGTGTGGCTGTCGGCGGGATTTTCCGGTCCCGGGGTAGCCTTGACAGTGGCGCCCTCGGTGCGTGCGATTTTTGCCGTGCGAGCGCGTTGCACCGTCTCCCTTTTTTCCTTGGCGCTTTTAGCAGAAATTGAAGTCGCGTTTGGTGTCGCGGTTGCTTCCGTAACGGCGGGAACTTGCTGTTGTAAGAGGGACACCAGCTGCTGCAGTTGGGCCGAGGTGAAGACGGGCGAGGCCACAGGCGCGTCAGGGGCCTAAGGCGCGTCAGGGGCCTGAGGCGCGTCAGGGCCCACGTGCACCTGAGGCCTCGCGTCAGGCGCGTGTGCCCGCCTGCGGCGCTAACGCTGACGGGGGGTGCCGGTCGCGCTGGCCGGCGTTGACTTGGCACCCTCGACGGTGGCCGGCGCCTTAGGCCCCTCAGGGGCCACGTGCGCTCGAGGCCCCCCAGGGGCGCGTGTCCCAGCGAGGTCGGCCTCGCGCAGCAGGACTTCGACGGCGGTCGGGGTCGACTCCTCGTCGTCTGCCCGGCGCTTGTTACGACGTTCGCCCGCGGGATCGCGGGTAAAAATTCCGTCGTCGGGACGAATTGGGGCGTTGGCGTTGTCACCGTTGTCGCCGTTAAGCGCCATTGTAGCCGCGTTGTGAGCGAAAATATCCGAAAGGAGTGTCGACGGAGACTGAAAGCGAGGTAGTGATTTCAACTTCGCCAGCTTGGAATTGGGAAGTCAAAACTTGACTAAACCGTTTGAAAAATGAGAGACGTGGGTGGAGGGAAATGACCTCCAGCCCGCGTTTTGTACTCCAAAACGTGCGTTTAGCGCGGTTTGCCGATGACCATTGCTACATTACAAGCCGCTTCGCTTTCAAAATACACAATTCTGAAAAGCGTTACAGCTTTTAAAAATATTCATGTGTCCTGCGCCTCCGTTATTTGTACAGAACCATTGCAATCAGAGCGCGTGAATTTAGAGGTGTTAAACACCATTTTTGTTCTTAACCATTAGTGTTACAGCTCTTAGAGTGCAGCAACTCCAGTGGTAACCACGTGTGCTGTCGATCCATTAACGAGAAGAAAATCCAGGGTCATGTGCTGATGAGAGAGGCATGCACACAGGGTCACAGGAATCAGGAGCGGCAGGGGTTAGATGGGTTCAAGAGGGGTTCAAGTGTAGTTTGTGAGGAACTAGTGGGGTGAATGTAAGTGGTTGTGTGGAGCGATAGAACATTGATTAGACAACTTGTTGAATAAAAATACTAAAAAAAGAAGAAGCACCAGCTGAGTAGACTTGACGGCACTCTCGTCTTTGTTGTCATGCTGAGTAGACTGGGCAGCACTCTCACCTTTGTCTTCTTGATGAGGACCCCGGGCGGCACACTGACGTTACCACTGGTATCACAGTACCTGTGAAGAAGAGCCATGCATGCATGGCCAGACGGACGGACGGATGGATGGACGGACGGACGGACGGACGGACGGATGGATGGACGGACAGACGGACGGACGGACGGACGGACGGACGGACGGACGGACGGACGGACGGACGGACGGACGGACGGACGGACGGACGGACGGACGGACGGACGGACGGACGGATGGATGGACGGACAGACGGACGGACGGATGGACGGATGGATGGATGGATGGACGGACGGACGGATGGATGTATGGATGGATGGAGGGAGGAGGGGCTGTAATCAATGAGTGGGTGTGATGTGAAAGTGTGACAGGGAGGTTAATCGAGTTGAAGAATGTGAACACGTGCATCGTTGGTGAACACGAGCATCGGTGGTGAACACGTGCAACCACGTTGCCAACACGCATGAGGGGAAGGAAAGAAACTTGGTAGGTAGGTAGGAGGCACAAGCAACATTGAAGCATAACAAAAGTTTCCATGTAACCAGAACATGTGTGATAGAATGGGCTGAAGAGGCCTGGAATGCAAACGGGGAAAGTCAACAGCTTTTGAGGCGCCTAATAAGGGCAGGTCATTGGAGGTTAGACGATGGGGATCGAGGTGAATGAATGAGCTCGGACTGAAAGAATGGAGTTTGAGAGAATGGGGTCTGAGTCAATTCGACTTGAGCGATATCAATGGGATGATTGATGGGATTTGGAGGCCCACTTCGTGAGTTTGAGTTGCTTCAGAGCCGTCCTAATGTCCTCTGGTTGTATTGCTGTGCGCTTGGATAGACTCTGATGGAAGAAGGTGGGGGGGGGGGGGAAGACAGGTGCAGGGACCTAAGAGCGAGGGAACACACAAGATGGGGGGCTTCAGGGCCCTTCGTCCGATGCCTTCTGGTTGTGTTGCCGTGCGCTTTGATAGACTCTGATGGTGGAAGAAGAGGGGGGAACACAAGTGTGGGGAAAGGGAATAAGGAAGCGGACACGTGAGAGAGAGTGGATGGTTTGGGGGAAAGGGGATGAGTAGTTAGAGGGGGGAGGCACTCGTGCGGATAATGCAGGAGGGGGCGGGAAGAGGGTAAGTGAAGGGAGCATAGGCCATTGAGTCAATTGAAATGATGAGAACGTGATGGGCATAGGGTACTTGTGATGGGATGGGATGACTTTTGAGTCGACTCAGAAGTCACCTTGAGTCGACTCAAAAGTCACCTTGGGTACTCATGATGGGATGGGATGAGCACTCAGTTGGAGTGTGACTGTGAGACAGCGGGGATGCGGTGTGCAGTGCATTCTTTGGCGTGTCTCAACAGTTGTATCAGACAGCAGGCATGGAGGGATGTGCGCTAATGGGAGTGATGGGAGATGTGTAGGGAATGAGGAGTGAGGGAGGAGGGAGGACGGAGAGGAGAGAGATGGGTGAGGGGAGAGCAGGGGGGAGGGAGAAAGACAATGGGTAAGGTAAGAGGCCATACATCAATGCTGCAGTTTCCTTGAAGCTTCTTCAGAGAGCGCAGCAGCTGCCAGCGCCAGTAGCTTCTGAAGGCCACCTGGAAGGGAGAGGGGGAGTGGGAGGGGGGAGGAGGAGGTGGAGCAGGGGAGGTGGGGAGTGACCTTTGAGGCGACTCAAAATAGAGCAGCAGCTGCCAGGACCAGTAGCTTCTGAAGGCCACCTGAAAGGGAGAGGGGGAGTGGGCGGGTGGGGGAGGTAGAGGGGAGAACAGTGGGAAGGTAGGGGAAGGGGGAGAGAGGTTACTTGAGGCGCTTGCTCACAGCAGCTGCCAGGACCAGTAGCTACTGAAGGCCACCTGGAAGGGAGAGGGGGAGTGGGCGGGTGGGCATGGTACAGGGGAGAACAGTGGGAGGAAGTGGGGGGGTTAGGGGAAGGAGGAGGGGGGATACTTGAGGCACCTGCCAACAACAGCTGCCAGAGCCAGTAGTTCTGAGGGCCACCTGAAGCGGTGTGGGGGAGGTTAGGATTGGGGAAGGTGGAGAGTGGGGGGAGGTTAGGATTGGGGAAGGTGGAGAGTGGGGGAGGTTAGGATTGGGGAAGTGGGAGAGGTAGGGTGGGGAGTGGGGGCGGTTGGGAGAGGGGAAGGTGGGGAGTGGGGTAGGTGGGGACTGGCTGAGGTGAGGAGTGGGGGAGGTGGGGAATGCGGAGGTATGGAGTTGGGGTGTTGGGGAGGAGGGGAGTTGGGGAGGTGGGGAGTGGGGGAGGTGAGAAGTGGGGGACTTTAAACAAGAGTGAAAAGAAACCAATCAATCCACAATCCCACCAACTCAGGAACTCTCGGACTTCCCAACCCACCCCAGCAGCCCCCCATGCACTCACAGTGCCCAGGTCAGAGAGGGGGGGCTTGGGCACCAGAAGCTGCTGACGGGCTGCTGTCATGTCATAGGCTGAAAAGGGTGGGGCATGCATGGATAGTGGAAGGGGAGTTGAGACGTAAACATGCTGGGGACAAGAGTGACTTGCTGAGTCGGCTCAGAAAGTTGCAGCCTTTTGATAGGCTGAAAGGGCACGGCACGAATAGTGGGACGTGTAGAAAAGTTGGACACTGGATGGTATGGTGGCAGCTGCTAACACGAGACCATTTTTTAGGCGCCTAAAAAATGACCTGAAAAGTTGGACACTGGATGGTATGGTGGCAGCTGCTAACACGAGACACACGGGCTGCAAGAACGTAACCAATAGGCAGGCTTCTCACTATTTGAGAGGAGATATTGGCTATATAGCGCTAGATACTTTCCATCATACATGGTTAAAAGAAAAGAAAAATAAAGAAAGGAAAAGAGATAAGAGAAAAGAAACAAAATGACTCATTTCTGGGGGACTGGTAGGGCAGGTTCCTCACCGACTGAGAGGAGCCATCGGCCAAACCCCCGTCGCTGGAAGGGAGGCAGCACAACGACACTGGAGAGGTGCACCTCCGCGGGTGGTGTTGGCGATGGTGGCAAAGGCGATGGTGGCAATGGCGATGGCGAGCTGTGAAGTGCCTCATGTGGCAATGGCTGTGCCGCCGCCAACCCTCCTCCTGTGTCCCCTGCTGTGTTGGCTGCTGCTGTGCACGTCTCATCCCGCCTGTGTGAATCACTTGGCCCTTGAGGAGCCTTAGGCGTCGCTTTTTCCTCTGCTTCACGCCTGTGTGGTTCGGCCGGCTTCTGCATTACCTCAAGAGTCGCCTCAACTTCCATCCTGTGTGAACTACCCAGCTTTTGAGCCGCATTAGGTGCCGCCTCTGCCTTTGCTTCGAGCCTGTGTGGATCGACCGTCTCAGTGCCAGCTGCTAGAGAGTCATGCTTGGGTGGTGGGCTGGCAGGAGGGGAAGACTCCTGCAATCAGGGGACGGGGCAGGAGAAGGAGAAGGGGAAGGGGAAGGGGAAGGGGAGCGGGAAAGGGAATGGGAACGGGAACGGGAACGGGACGGGGAAGGGGAAAGGGGAGGGGAAGGTGAAGGTGAAGGGGAAGGGTAAGGGGAAGGTGAATGGGAAGAAGAAGGGGAAGAAGAGACACTGGATAACTATCAGATATGATGGAATGATGAGAGTGCTCGACATTGGTTCAGATAGAGTTGAAGGCAATAGAGTGCTCATTGTCAGCATTGGTATTCTTATTGATGAAAGCAGAAGCGCTATGATCCTTACAATGGCAAAGTAGCCAATGAGAGTGTGCCAAGTGTCAGAACCCCTTGTGAGAACGTAGAAGGTGTGACCCTCAACGGTGTACACCCGCGGCTTGTGCTCCAGAAAGAGCTTTCCCAGGAGGGACAGGCACTGAGGGGGATAAGGAGAAGGAAGAGAGGAGGATAAGTATGAAAGGGGATGCTGTAATGGTTAACCATGTACCATGTGCCCCTCTACCATGTACACCCGTGGCTTGTGCTCCAGAAAGAGCTTGCCCAGTAGGGAGAGGCACTGCAGACAAGGGGTAAGAAGGTGTGGTGAAGGGAAAGGAGCAGCAGAGGAGGTTGATGGGACACTCGTGGCCATGCAGCATGTAACATCCACCACTGCTACCAACCAACACTGCAACCATTGTCTCCCCCTTTTGAGGCGCCTCAAAAGTTGATGGGACACTCGTGGCCATGCAACATGCAATATCCACCACTGCTACCAACACCGCCACCACTGTCTCTCCCTTTAATCATTCCCCTTCCCATAATCCCCCATATACCCTCCCACTCCCACATCTACCCTCCCATATTTCCCTTTCCCCATATTCACCTGCCAGTACAGCTTTGGATGGGTTGGATCGACCCTGAACACATGCAGCCTGTGCCCCCTCCCTCTCCACCACCATCTCTTCCCCTTGTGAACTTCCCTGCCCACTGCACCGCACCCACACTTCACTCACCTGGCAGTACAGCTTTGCATGAGCTGGATCCACCCTGAACACATGCAGCATGCCGCTGCCACCTCCACCGCCACCATCACCACCACTACCACTGCCACCGGTTTCCTTTCCTCCTCCTTCCTCTGCCTTTCTAACCCCTCCTTCTTCCCTTCCTCCATCACCCCGCCTCTCTGCATCCGTCTGAACCGCATCAAACCCCTTGCTTTCTGCATCCTTCCGTCCTCCAACTGACCCCCCCCTCTCCTGCCCCTGCGCCTCACCCTTGGCCTCACTTCCCTCCCCACCTTCTCCCACCCCACCTTCTCCCTTCCTACTTCCTTCCTTCCCACTTCCATCCCTCCCAGCCTCTCCCTTCACACCCTCTCCCTTCCCTCCCTCTCCCTCCTGTTTCCGCGCACTGCCCTTCCTGTCCACGTCAGCATCCCTGGCAGACACACTGTTGCCCATGCCAGCCACGTCAGCAGGGCCCCTTTCCAGGTCAGCATCCTTGGCATCCGAACCAGTAGCAGCAGGGGCAGCAGCAGCATCAGAACCAGAAGTTCCATCGTCCCCTCCTCCCACTCCCACGCCCCCCCCTGGTACTCTAAATTGCAGCCCCGCAAACGCTTCTGCTGCAGCAGCTGTTTCCGTCCCTGTAGCTGCCGTCCCTGTCTCACTCCCCTCCCTTCTCCCTCCTCCTTCCCCTCCTCTTCCCCCTCCTCCCATCCCCACACCTACGACTGCTGCATGTCCTGCTGCTGCCGCAGCTGCGACAGCAGCAGCAGCTGCCGAAGCAGCCAAATTGCCATCCACCCGAGCACTACCAGCAGCAACACCCTCCCCAGCAGCAACCACCACACCTCCACATGCCTCTGAACCTTCCCCACGCCCATCTCCACCGCTCCCGCCTTCCCGTTCGGCCATCGGTTTGCACTCTTGTATGCCTTCGCCCCTCTCACATGCGCCTGCTGCATGGAAAGGCATGACAGGAAGCATGTATTGTTCAGGCGCCTCAAAAACAGACCCATCACACTACGCTTCTGCTGCAGGGGCAAGTGTGGCAGCAGGGGCAGGCACAGCAGGCAGCAAGAGAAAGCGTGACTGCAGGAGGGTTACATGGAGGACGAATGGGGTTACCAGCAGCAGGCTCACAGGCAGGAGGAAGTGCAGCGGTGGGGCCAGTAGGGGCGGGAGGGACGAGCCTGGCACGGTAAACCTCCTCTCCTGGCGGGATGACCTGCTGACACTTGGCCTGCTTGGTTCATTCGATTGGGATTTAAGAGACAGGACAGGGAATGCACTCAAAGGGAGCCTGGAATTCTGGGTATGAGGTTTTGGTTTAATCTTCAGCAGAGATTGCAGTCCGGGGTTTCGGGGTTTCGGGGTTTCCACTCACCATGTGTCGCTCGTAGGCGGTGGGAGTGCTGGAGTACTTGAGACAAGCGTCACATATGAAGAGACGACCCGTGCTGGTGAGAATGGGGCTTCGGGCTTAGGAATAAGTGTGAAGGGTTTAAGGGTCACGGCGAATTAATATTTGGGGTCTTAGATTTCCACTCACCAGGTGTCGCTTGTATGTTGTGGGAGTGGTGGAGTACTTGAGGCAGGCGTCACAGATGAATGAAGAGACGTGCAGGTGGTACGGCTAGGGTTTCAGGACTTGGGTTTCAACTCACCAGGTGTCGCTCGTAGGCGGTGGGAGTGGTGGAGTCCTTGAGGCAGGCGTCACAGATGAAGAGAGGACCCGTGTTGGTGAGGATTGGGTTTTGCGTTGAGGAATCAGGGTGAAGGGTTCAAGGCTCAAGGTCTCAAAGTTTGAGGTTCTAGGTTTTGACTCACCAGATGTCGCTCGTAGGCGGTGGGAGTGGTGGAGTACTTGAGGCAGGCATCACAGATGAAGAGACGACCCGTGTTGGTTAGGTGCGGTGGATATGGGGAAAAGTACCTGCCAAAAGTTGCAACAATCGATGTAACAATTGCTGAAACAATTGATGTAACAGCTGACAGCTTCATATCAAAACAGCAACATTATGGAGCTTGCTGAGAGACCAGACAGACGGTGTCACTCTCAAGTGCCCACCTTCCCACCTTCTCGCTCCTTCTGCACTCACCACGTGTCACTCTCATGGTCACCATCCTCAACCTCCCCACATTCCTCACATGCATATGCCTATCAATGGAGCTGCACCCTCACCCCAACCAACCTCTCCCCCTGCCCACCTCCCCGCCGCCTCACCCCTATCTATCCCACACTCACCACGAGACAATCTCATGGTCACCGCATCTGCCGCTCCAATGCAGCTGCATCCTTACCTGCCTCCCAGCCAGCCACCCCTGCCTGCAGACCTCCCCGCCCTCACACCCCAACCTATCCCAAACTCACCACGAGTCAATCTCATGGCCATCAATTTCCACCGTCTCAACATTCTTCACTCGCATCGCATCTGCCATTCCAACACAGCTGCATCCTCAACCACACTCTACCCCTCTCACCCCTATTCCACCGCACTCACCAAGTGTCAATATCATGGTCACCAATCTCCACAGTCTAAACATTCTTCACTCGCATCTGCCATTTCAATGGAGCTGCACTTTTACCAGACCCCCAACCAGCCCCCCAACCAGCCCCCCAACCAGCCCCCCAACCAGCCCCCCAACCTTCCCCCCAACCAGCCCCCCAACCAGCCCCCCAACCAGCCCCCCAACCAGCCCCCCAACCAGCCCCCCAACCTGCCCCCCAACCAGACCCCAACCAGCCTCCCAACCAGACCCCAACCAGACCCCCAACCAGCCCCCCAACCAGCCCCCCAACCAGCCCCCAACCAGCCCCCAACCAGCCCCCAACCAGCCTCCCAACCAGACCCCCAACCTTCCCCCCAACCAGACCCCCAACCTGCCCCCCAACCAGCCCCCCAACCAGCCCCCAACCAGCCCCCAACCAGCCCCCAACCAGCCTCCCAACCAGCCCCCCAACCTGCCCCCCAACCAGACCCCAACCAGACCCCCAACCAGACCCCCAACCTTCCCCCCAACCAGACCCCCAACCAGCCCCCCAACCAGCCCCCCAACCAGCCCCCCAACCAGCCCCCCAACCAGCCCCCCAACCTGCCCCCCAACCAGACCCCAACCAGCCCCCCAACCTTCCCCCCAACCAGACCCCCAACCAGCCCCCCAACCAGCCCCCCAACCAGCCCCCCAACCAGCCCCCCAACCTGCCCCCCAACCAGACCCCAACCAGCCCCCCAACCAGCCCCCCAACCAGACCCCCAACCAGCCCCCCAACCTGCCCCCCAACCAGACCCCAACCAGACCCCCAACCAGACCCCCAACCTTCCCCCCAACCAGACCCCCAACCAGACCCCAACCAGCCCCCCAACCAGCCCCCCAACCTTCCCCCCAACCAGACCCCCAACCAGCCCCCCAACCAGCCCCCCAACCAGCCCCCCAACCAGCCCCCCAACCAGCCCCCCAACCAGCCCCCCAACCTGCCCCCCAACCAGACCCCAACCAGCCCCCCAACCAGCCCCCCAACCAGCCCCCCAACCAGCCCCCCAACCAGCCCCCCAACCAGCCCCCCAACCTGCCCCCCAACCAGACCCCAACCAGACCCCCAACCAGACCCCCAACCAGCCCCCCAACCAGCCCCCCAACCTTCCCCCCAACCAGCCCCCCAACCAGCCCCCCAACCAGCCCCCCAATCAGCCCCCCAACCAGCCCCCAAACCTGCCCCCCAACCAGACCCCAACCAGCCTCCAAACCAGACCCCAACCAGACCCCCAACCAGCCCCCCAACCAGCCCCCCAACCAGCCCCCAACCAGCCCCCAACCAGCCCCCAACCAGCCTCCCAACCAGACCCCCAACCTTCCCCCCAACCAGACCCCCAACCTGCCCCCCAACCAGCCCCCCAACCAGCCCCCAACCAGCCCCCAACCAGCCCCCAACCAGCCTCCCAACCAGCCCCCCAACCTGCCCCCCAACCAGACCCCAACCAGACCCCCAACCAGACCCCCAACCTTCCCCCCAACCAGACCCCCAACCAGCCCCCCAACCAGCCCCCCAACCAGCCCCCCAACCAGCCCCCCAACCAGCCCCCCAACCTGCCCCCCAACCAGACCCCAACCAGCCCCCCAACCTTCCCCCCAACCAGACCCCCAACCAGCCCCCCAACCAGCCCCCCAACCAGCCCCCCAACCAGCCCCCCAACCAGCCCCCCAACCAGCCCCCCAACCTGCCCCCCAACCAGACCCCCAACCAGACCCCCAACCTTCCCCCCAACCAGACCCCCAACCAGCCCCCCAACCAGCCCCCAACCAGACCCCCAACCAGCCCCCCAACCAGCCCCCCAACCTTCCCCCCAACCAGACCCCCAACCAGCCCCCCAACCAGCCCCCCAACCAGCCCCCAACCAGACCCCCAACCTTCCCCCCAACCAGACCCCCAACCAGCCCCCCAACCAGCCCCCAACCAGCCCCCCAACCAGCCCCCCAACCAGCCCCCCAACCAGCCCCCCAACCAGCCCCCCAACCAGCCCCCCAACCAGCCCCCCAACCAGCCCCCCAACCAGCCCCCCAACCTGCCCCCCAACCAGACCCCCAACCAGACCCCAACCAGCCCCCCAACCAGCCCCCCAACCAGCCCCCCAACCAGCCCCCCAACCTGCCCCCCAACCAGACCCCCCAGACCCCCAACCAGACCCCCAACCTTCCCCCCAACCAGACCCCCAACCAGCCCCCCAACCAGCCCCCCAACCAGCCCCCAACCAGCCCCCCAACCAGCCCCCCAACCAGCCCCCCAACCAGCCCCCCAACCAGCCCCCCAACCAGCCCCCCAACCAGCCCCCCAACCAGCCCCCCAACCTGCCCCCCAACCAGACCCCCAACCAGACCCCAACCAGCCCCCCAACCAGCCCCCCAACCAGCCCCCCAACCAGCCCCCCAACCAGCCCCCCAACCAGCCCCCCAACCTGCCCCCCAACCAGACCCCAACCAGACCCCCAACCAGACCCCCAACCAGCCCCCCAACCTTCCCCCCAACCAGCCCCCCAACCAGCCCCCCAACCAGCCCCCCAACCAGCCCCCCAACCAGCCCCCCAACCTGCCCCCCAACCAGACCCCAACCAGCCTCCCAACCAGACCCCAACCAGACCCCCAACCAGCCCCCCAACCAGCCCCCCAACCAGCCCCCAACCAGCCCCCAACCAGCCCCCAACCAGCCTCCCAACCAGACCCCCAACCTTCCCCCCAACCAGACCCCCAACCTGCCCCCCAACCAGCCCCCCAACCAGCCCCCAACCAGCCCCCAACCAGCCCCCAACCAGCCTCCCAACCAGCCCCCCAACCTGCCCCCCAACCAGACCCCAACCAGACCCCCAACCAGACCCCCAACCTTCCCCCCAACCAGACCCCCAACCAGCCCCCCAACCAGCCCCCCAACCAGCCCCCCAACCTGCCCCCCAACCAGACCCCAACCAGCCCCCCAACCTTCCCCCCAACCAGACCCCCAACCAGCCCCCCAACCAGCCCCCCAACCAGCCCCCCAACCAGCCCCCCAACCAGCCCCCCAACCAGCCCCCCAACCTGCCCCCCAACCAGACCCCAACCAGACCCCCAACCAGACCCCCAACCTTCCCCCCAACCAGACCCCCAACCAGCCCCCCAACCTGCCCCCCAACCAGACCCCCAACCAGACCCCAACCAGCCCCCCAGCCAGCCCCCCAACCAGACCCCAACCAGCCCCCCAGCCAGCCCCCCAACCAGACCCCAACCAGCCCCCCAGCCAGCCCCCCAACCAGACCCCAACCAGCCCCCCAGCCAGCCCCCCAACCAGACCCCAACCAGCCCCCCAGCCAGCCCCCCAACCAGACCCCAACCAGCCCCCCAGCCAGCCCCCCAACCAGACCCCAACCAGCCCCCCAGCCAGCCCCCCAACCAGACCCCAACCAGCCCCCCAACCAGCCCCCCAACCAGCCCCCCAACCAGCCCCCCAACCAGCCCCCCAACCAGCCCCCCAACCAGCCCCCCAACCAGCCCCCCAACCAGCCCCCCAACCTGCCCCCCAACCAGACCCCCAACCAGACCCCAACCAGCCCCCCAACCAGCCCCCCAACCAGCCCCCCAACCAGCCCCCCAACCTGCCCCCCAACCAGACCCCAACCAGACCCCCAACCAGACCCCCAACCTTCCCCCCAACCAGACCCCCAACCAGCCCCCCAACCAGCCCCCCAACCAGCCCCCAACCAGCCCCCCAACCAGCCCCCCAACCAGCCCCCCAACCAGCCCCCCAACCAGCCCCCCAACCAGCCCCCCAACCAGCCCCCCAACCAGCCCCCCAACCTGCCCCCCAACCAGACCCCCAACCAGACCCCAACCAGCCCCCCAACCAGCCCCCCAACCAGCCCCCCAACCAGCCCCCCAACCAGCCCCCCAACCAGCCCCCCAACCTGCCCCCCAACCAGACCCCAACCAGACCCCCAACCAGACCCCCAACCAGCCCCCCAACCTTCCCCCCAACCAGCCCCCCAACCAGCCCCCCAACCAGCCCCCCAACCAGCCCCCCAACCAGCCCCCCAACCTGCCCCCCAACCAGACCCCAACCAGCCTCCCAACCAGACCCCAACCAGACCCCCAACCAGCCCCCCAACCAGCCCCCCAACCAGCCCCCAACCAGCCCCCAACCAGCCCCCAACCAGCCTCCCAACCAGACCCCCAACCTTCCCCCCAACCAGACCCCCAACCTGCCCCCCAACCAGCCCCCCAACCAGCCCCCAACCAGCCCCCAACCAGCCCCCAACCAGCCTCCCAACCAGCCCCCCAACCTGCCCCCCAACCAGACCCCAACCAGACCCCCAACCAGACCCCCAACCTTCCCCCCAACCAGACCCCCAACCAGCCCCCCAACCAGCCCCCCAACCAGCCCCCCAACCTGCCCCCCAACCAGACCCCAACCAGCCCCCCAACCTTCCCCCCAACCAGACCCCCAACCAGCCCCCCAACCAGCCCCCCAACCAGCCCCCCAACCAGCCCCCCAACCAGCCCCCCAACCAGCCCCCCAACCTGCCCCCCAACCAGACCCCAACCAGACCCCCAACCAGACCCCCAACCTTCCCCCCAACCAGACCCCCAACCAGCCCCCCAACCTGCCCCCCAACCAGACCCCCAACCAGACCCCAACCAGCCCCCCAGCCAGCCCCCCAACCAGACCCCAACCAGCCCCCCAGCCAGCCCCCCAACCAGACCCCAACCAGCCCCCCAGCCAGCCCCCCAACCAGACCCCAACCAGCCCCCCAGCCAGCCCCCCAACCAGACCCCAACCAGCCCCCCAGCCAGCCCCCCAACCAGACCCCAACCAGCCCCCCAGCCAGCCCCCCAACCAGACCCCAACCAGCCCCCCAGCCAGCCCCCCAACCAGACCCCAACCAGCCCCCCAACCAGCCCCCCAACCTGCCCCCCAACCAGACCCCCAACCAGACCCCAACCAGCCCCCCAACCAGCCCCCCAACCAGCCCCCCAACCAGCCCCCCAACCTGCCCCCCAACCAGACCCCAACCAGACCCCCAACCAGACCCCCAACCTTCCCCCCAACCAGACCCCCAACCAGCCCCCCAACCAGCCCCCCAACCAGCCCCCAACCAGCCCCCCAACCAGCCCCCCAACCAGCCCCCCAACCAGCCCCCCAACCAGCCCCCCAACCAGCCCCCCAACCAGCCCCCCAACCAGCCCCCCAACCTGCCCCCCAACCAGACCCCCAACCAGACCCCAACCAGCCCCCCAACCAGCCCCCCAACCAGCCCCCCAACCAGCCCCCCAACCAGCCCCCCAACCAGCCCCCCAACCTGCCCCCCAACCAGACCCCAACCAGACCCCCAACCAGACCCCCAACCAGCCCCCCAACCTTCCCCCCAACCAGCCCCCCAACCAGCCCCCCAACCAGCCCCCCAACCAGCCCCCCAACCAGCCCCCCAACCTGCCCCCCAACCAGACCCCAACCAGCCTCCCAACCAGCCCCCAACCAGCCCCCCAACCAGCCCCCCAACCAGCCCCCCAACCAGCCCCCCAACCAGCCCCCCAACCAGCCCCCCAACCAGCCCCCCAACCAGCCCCCCAACCTGCCCCCCAACCAGACCCCCAACCAGACCCCAACCAGCCCCCCAGCCAGCCCCCCAACCAGACCCCAACCAGCCCCCCAGCCAGCCCCCCAACCAGACCCCAACCAGACCCCCAACCAGACCCCAACCAGACCCCCAACCAGACCCCAACCAGCCCCCCAACCAGACCCCAACCAGCCCCCCAACCAGACCCCCAACCAGCCCCCCAACCTTCCCCCCAACCAGACCCCCAACCAGCCCCCCAACCAGCCCCCCAACCAGCCCCCCAACCTGCCCCCCAACCAGACCCCAACCAGCCCCCCAACCTTCCCCCCAACCAGACCCCCAACCAGCCCCCCAACCTTCCCCCCAACCAGACCCCCAACCAGCCCCCCAACCAGCCCCCCAACCAGCCCCCCAACCTGCCCCCCAACCAGACCCCAACCAGCCCCCCAACCTTCCCCCCAACCAGCCCCCCAACCAGACCCCAACCAGCCCCCCAGCCAGCCCCCCAACCAGACCCCAACCAGACCCCCAACCAGACCCCAACCAGACCCCCAACCAGACCCCAACCAGCCCCCCAACCAGACCCCAACCAGCCCCCCAACCAGACCCCCAACCAGCCCCCCAACCTTCCCCCCAACCAGACCCCCAACCAGCCCCCCAACCAGACCCCCAACCAGACCCCAACCAGCCCCCCAACCAGACCCCAACCAGCCCCCCAACCAGACCCCCAACCAGCCCCCCAACCTTCCCCCCAACCAGACCCCCAACCAGCCCCCCAACCAGCCCCCCAACCAGCCCCCCAACCTGCCCCCCAACCAGACCCCAACCAGCCCCCCAACCTTCCCCCCAACCAGACCCCCAACCAGCCCCCCAACCAGCCCCCCAACCAGCCCCCCAACCAGCCCCCCAACCAGCCCCCCAACCAGCCCCCCAACCTGCCCCCCAACCAGACCCCAACCAGACCCCCAACCAGCCCCCCAGCCAGCCCCCCAACCAGACCCCAACCAGCCCCCCAACCAGACCCCAACCAGCCCCCCAACCAGACCCCAACCAGCCCCCCAACCAGACCCCAACCAGCCCCCCAACCAGACCCCAACCAGCCTCCCCATATGCTAGCCTTCCCTCCATCAACCCCCCAAACCACACTCACCACGTGTCAATCTCATGGTCACCGATCTCCACCGTCTCAAAATTCTTCACTCGCATCTGCCGCTCCCACGCAGCCGCATCCTCCCCTACCTCCTCACCACCAGCCCCCTTCACCCCTCCTTCGCCTCCCTTATTTGCTGCTGCTCGATCGACATTCCTGCCCCCCCTTCCCGACTCTACACCTACACCAGCAGCAGCAGTAGCAGCAGCAGCAGAGCTGGGTTCCCCTTTCACCCCTGAAGCAGCCCTGGTGTCAAGCTTTTGACCCGCCTGGAGTGTCCCTACTTGCAGGCCTGGATCAGCAGGAGCGTCAGGCATGTCTAGGCGTCTCCTCTTGGGTCCTTTCAGAATCAACAACAGCCATAGAATCAGGAGAGCATGCTTCAATGAATGGGGGCCCAGAGTAGTCTATTCTTAAGGCGCCCCCAAAATAGGAACTAAAAACACTTAGGAGCACAATAATCTTGAACAAACCATCGCATGGCAGCATAACTTGCAGCACGAGTGCTTACATGCAGTCTTTTGAAAGTAAAAAGAAGAGGCAAGAAAAGCGCTGTCTCACCATCTGCAGCAGGGGAGTGGGCCTCTGTGTCCACGTCAGCAGCCAGCTCAGCCCGCCTCTTGACATCCACGTCAGCATGCCCTTGACCGTGGCTTCGGATAAGCTCATCATGCTCATGCTCATTCTTGTGGCTGTGGTTGTAGGGATGCTCACGAACATGGCCATGCACATGATGATCAGGCTTTAAGTCTTGATCATGCTTTAAATCATGATCATATTTTAGGTCATCATGATAGCTATGGTCGTGCCCATGCACATGTCCATGCACATGCCCATGCACATGGTCATGCCCATACCCATGGTCATGCTCATGCTCATCCTCATGGGCATCCATGGTGGTCCATGGTTCCACTCGGCTCTCCCCCACCCACTCGTCCAGCCGCTTGTTGTCTGCATGCCTTGCAGGGCGGCACGGGGTAGGGAATGGAGGAGGAGCGAAAGCATGGAAAAGATAAGTTGAAGATTCGGAATATTCAGGTGCCAAGGAAATACACACTCGGCTCTCCCCCACCCACTAGTCCAGTTGCTTGTTGTCTGCCTCCCTTGCAAGGCGGCATGGGGACATGGAAGAGGGGGGGGAGCGGAAAAGTGACCAAGATAAGCTGGGGCTTGCGAAAGTTCAAAGGCAGGAAAAACGACCACTGGGTGGTCTCCCTCCCCACCCACGCGTGGCTCGTCCAGACGGCTTCTGCCAGCACCAGTAGTATCAGTTACTCTACTGCTCGCAGAAGTCACATTTCACACACAGAGTGTATACAGAGCTCTTTAAACAGTATACAACAGTAAAAAAAAAGAGATAAATGTATAGTATTAGTGCTCACATTCTACGTAGTGTATATAGTACTCCACTGAAGAAGCATCTATGAGCTCAACTCCTTTGTTCGCATGCGCCGCTCCTGCTGCTTCCGAACCTGGTGCCGAACCAGCCCCTTTGCCATCCCTATCAGCAGCACGTCTGGTGGTTACCACCTCTCCAGCGTCTGCAAGGAGAAAGAGGGAGGGTAATCAGCTTGAGATGGGTAGTAATAAAAGCACTGTACTGTTACGCCAATGATTGAGTTTGCTATTTTTCCCTGCTCCTGACTCGTAGTGCTGTCAGCATTTTTCATCACCCACAGTAGCGATTATAGCCCAAAAGAATCAAACAATCAAATAAATAAAAAATACAAGAAAAAGATGCTATTTCACTCACGGTAGAGGTTATCCCAGGAAGCGAGGCATGCCACTCGCGACCCCGCAGGGAGCACCGCTCGACGGCCGGATCCCATCTATACTTGATCTCCCAAACCACGGGCTCCGCTCCGTTCACAATAGCACCGCGCGACGGCTCGACGGCTCGACGGGTCGACCACGTCGTGGAGTCGAGTTCTCAATTACACCGCGCGACGGCAGCTCGCAATCTATCCCAGCCGTTGCTCGCAAAGATCACATCAGAATCGGCGGAGCCGATCCTAATTTCAATGTGGAGATTTTCTGGAGCCTCCTAGAATCTGAGTTACCAGTAGGCGACTGTTCCTTAGGAGGAAGGTGAAGTCCTTCGAATATACGACTGACACGACGGACATAACCCGTACGTTCCAGTTGTCTCTCTAACAAAGCGGGCACTGGAAACGAAAGCTGGAAAATATGTCGGCTCGCCGCTTTTATGACAATGACGAGTCTATACGTATACTCTCGCGCAGTTCGAATGAAGGAGTACCGGAGCGCACGGCGAAGGAAGAGGTACATCAGTCTTCAGTGCTGCTGCTGCTACGAACAACACGAAATTCCCAAGGTGGCAGAAATATGGCAGCGGGAAAATGGCCTTCGGAGGGAATGTTGAGCTCGGAACCCCAGGAGAGTTTCTCAAAACAAGTTTGCAAATTACTAGCACTTGAAGTCAGTTTCAGAGTCGTTCTTGGTTCGTCGGAGTGATTTTCGGCCCGCGTTCGCGACATGTTTCAGTTGGCGTTTCTAGCACTCGAACTTAAAAACGGCACGCGATGGGTTTTCTCGAAACTGCTCTGAAACTGTCAGCACGATGAAAACGGCCCCCATAAATCCTGTCTGACAAACAGTCGAGAGGCACGGGTAAGGTACTGTTACGGGTGCAATGAATCGAAGTAGCGAGAATTGCACTACGGTGTCAAACGAGTACAAAATGTGAGAGAAGGCATGAGCGAACATTTATACGCGAAACATGCAAACGGTAACGCGGTGCGTGCGAGCCAGCTAGTGCTATGCTGGAAGCGAGGCTCGGGCTAGTCCCGAAGCGTAGGCCGACGCGGCCAGGCCAGCAGTGCGAGGTTTGGTGAAACAGTGCGCGCGAAGTCGGCGAAGCCCCGTTAGCAGTAACGGGCGAACAACGGCTGCTGCTGTACACGATGTTGCAGGGCGCGCTAAGGAATATCGATAAAATTCCTTACACTACCCCCCCCCCCCTCAAGAAGCCCCCTCCGCTACGCGAGTGCGTGTATATCGCGGAAACCCCGGCTCCTCAGGTACACTTGCAGGGCAGGGTGGTTTTCGATGTTGGCCAGGGGCACCCAGCTATCTTCAGTTGGCGTGTGATCCTTCCAGCGAACGAGGAATTCAATCCTCCTGATTCCCGTGGGGTGTCGAATCCGATGGCTCAGGATTTTTTCGGGTTTGATGATCGGCTCCGATGCAGGGCGAGTCATGGATGGTGGGCGGTGGCGAGGCAATTGGCTTGTGGTTGGGATGTATGGGCGAAGCAGGCTGACGTGGAACGAGGGGCTGATGTACCAGTCCGTCGGCAACAGTAGGTGAGCTGTCACTGGGGTAATCATGTGGCTGATTTGGAATGGTCCACAGTAGCGGGGTCGTAATTTCGGTAGGACGGGCAGTCTTAAGTTCTGTGTGTCGACCAGTACGTAGTCTCCTGACTGGTACGTGGCTGGGCGGCAGTGGCGGTCAGCGTTGCGCTGAGCGATGACATTGGCCTTTTTAATTGCTTCTGCGGCTCTGGTGCAGGCAGCTTGCAGAATTTCGGCGAATTGCTGTGCACGTAGTGTTGGGTTGTCCGGACTCGGCGTCATGGGCACTGTAGGATTTTGCCCGTAGTTCAGGTAGAAAGGGGACTGCTGAGTCGTCGCTGACGTGGCGTTGTTATATGCGAACTCAATCAGCGGCAGCTGCTGCTCCCAAGTGGTCGGGTCGTCGCACGTGGCACGAATCAACTGCTCCATTGTCTGATTCGTCCGCTCCGTTTGACTGTCAGTCTCGGGGTGGTACGACGAGCTGAACTGTAGCCTTGTCTCAAACTGCTCCCAGAAGTTTTTCCAGAAGTTGTTGGTAAACTTCGTGTCGCGGTCGCTGATTATTGCGGCTGGTATCACGTGTAGTCGAACGACGGCTGCGATGAACAGGCGAGCGGTTTCTTTGGCTGAGACCGATTTCTTGCACGCAGCGAAGTGTGCCATCTTCGTCAACCTGTCAACGACTGTCAAACTCATATGCTATATTCTGTGTAGGCTGTAGTGGGGTAGACAATATGGGGTACAACACTTTTAGGTTTTCCTACTCGTACCCACCTGCTTGCTAGTTCATTCATTCCTCATTTCTTCACATGGTATAGAGCAGGTTCCCTAGTGGGAACACTTCCTAGGGCCCACCACTGAAAATCGAACATATTTTTTTTTTCTGACCAGAGCGCGGGTCGCCCCTGCCCGAGGCGCGCCCCGTGGGCCGCCCTCTCGTCGCGTCCCTTGCCCTTAGCGGTCTGTCGTGCCCTCCTAAAGGCCCCTCTCACGGCCCCTCGCGCCACCCCTAGCGGCCCCGTCGCCGCCCTTAGCGGCCCCGTCGCCACCCCTAGCGGCCCCGTTGCCACCCTTCGCGGCCCCGTCGCCGCCCCTAGCGGCCCCGTCGCCGCCCTTCGCGGCCCCGTCGCCGCCCCTAGCGGCCCCGTCGCCGCCCTTCGCGACCCCGTCGCCGCCCGTTGCGGCCCCGTCGCCGTCCTTCGCGGCCCCGTCGCCGCCCTTCGAGGCCCCTCGCGGCCCCTTCGCGGCCCCGTCGCCGCCCCTATCGGCCCCGTCGCCGCCCTTCGCGGCCCCGTCGCCGCCTCTAGCGGCCCCGTCGCCGCCCTTCGCGGCCCCGTCGCCGCCCCTAGCGGCCCCGTCGCCGCCCTTCGCGGCCCGTCGCCGCCCCTAGCGGCCCCGTCGCCGCCCTTCGCGGCCCCTCGCGGCCTCTTCCCGGCCCCGTCGCCGCCCTTCGTGGCCCCGTCGCCACCCTTCCCGGCCCCTCCCCGGCTTCTCCGCCACTAGCAGCAGCCGCCGCCAGCAGCAGCCGCCGCCGCCGCCGCCAGCAGCAGCCGACAGCAGCAGACGCCGCCGACAACAGCGGCGGCCACCACCAGCAGCAGCCATCGCCGCCGACAGCAGCGAGTGCCGCCGCCACTGACAGCAGGAGCTGCCGCCGCAGTCGCGGCTCTTTCCCTGCCGACGCGCCTCGGCCCTGCCCCACCGCTTGCCGGCCCCTACATACCAGCCCTGGTGAGAGCACTGCCGAGCCACGCCTGCTACTGCTGCCCCTAGCCTGCTGCCACTGCTGTCATGGCTACCCCTAGTGTTCTAGTCTTTGATGCTGAGGGTCGGGCTGTTGACTTTGAGGTCTGGGTCGATGATCTACAGCTTTTCCTACAGTGCGATAGGAAGGACGGTCTCTCCCTGTTCGATCTCACGTCTGGCGCCTCTACTGCCCCTGCTGCCGATGCTGACAGCACTATTCGCTCCCAGTGGGCCACACGCGATGCTGCTGCCCGTCTTGCTGTGCGTAGTCACTTGCCGTCCACTGAGCGCGCGCACTTTAGTCAGTACAAGAGTGCTAAGACCTTGTACGATGCTGTAGTTGCACGCTACTCTTCCCCTGCCACTGCTGCCCTTAGCCGCCTCATGCTGCCGTACCTGTTTCCTGACCTCGCCGCCTTTCCCACTGTCGCTGACCTCGTTACGCACCTTCGCACTAGTGACACCCGCTACCGCGCTGCGCTTCCTGCTGAGTTCTGCGCCAAGAACCCCCCCCCCATGTACATCACCCTCTACTACATAGTCACCCGGCTCCCTGACTCCCTTCGCTCGGCCAGGGACCACTTCCTCTCTGTTTGCCCCACCACACTCACCGTTGACCTCCTCGAGGAGCGCCTCCTGGCAGCTGAGAAGAGTATAGTCGCTGTAGGAGCCTCTCGTGGTGACCCTCATGCCCCCGTCTTTGAGGGGTGCTCCCCCTCCCCCCTTTTGCTGAGTCGGTCGGCGCTGCGTCTGCCCCTAGCGGGCGACGCCGCACCGGCAAGGGCAAGGGGGGCAAGTGCGCTGGAGGGGCTGGCGGGGGCGGTGGAGGTGGCGGTGGAGGAGGCGGAGGGAGTGGGGGTGGTGATGGAGTGGTGGCGGGGGTGGGGGCTTTGGTGGCGGCGGTGGAGGCGGAGGCGGCGGCGGCGGTGGCGGTGGGAGCGGAGGAGGAGGCGGTGGCGGCGGTGGCGGAGGTGGCGGCGGAGGAGGTGGAGCTAGTCGAGGTGGCTCTGCGTAGCGGGGCGGCTTCGGTGGTGGTCAGCGCCAGCAGCAGCAGCGCACTTGTGAGACCCCACCCCCCCAGCAGCTTCGTGAGTGGTACTCTGCGCGTCAGCGGGGTGGGGGTGCTGGTCCTTGTGCCTATGTCCTGCGTACCGGCGACCGCACTGGTGAGACGTGCGGTGGCCCGCACACCACCCAGCGCTGCTTCGGCCGTCTGACGGACGCTTGGCGTCTCCAGTTCCCTGACGCCACTGAGATCCCCCGCTGGGGCGAGCTGCTTAGGTCGGGGGTTGCTATCTTTGATCTGGATTATGATGCTATTCTTGCTGCCATGTATGTTGTGTCTACTAGTGATGAGGGTGACTGTTACCTGTGTGTTCCGCCTGACCCGGGCATTGAGGCTGCTGCTCTAGGTGCTGGTGAGGCTGCTGCTCTAGGTGCTAGTGCGTCTGCTGCCCCAGGTGCTGGTGAGTCTGCTCTCTCAGGTACCACGTCGGCTCAGGCCTTACACACCTTCACCCTTGACTCGGGTGCTTCCCGCACCATCTTTCGAGACCGCACCACGCTTACGCCGCTTAGTCGGCCGGTTGCGGTCTCCCTGGCGGACCCCTCTGGGGGTCCTGTCCTTGCCCACTTCTCCACTGTCTTACCGTGTCCGGCAGCCTCCTCTGGCACCCTGTCAGGTCTCTACCTCCTCTCGTTCTCTACGAACTTGGTGAGTGGTGCTGATCTACAGGATGGGGGGGTTGACCAGTTCACTCCTGCGAGTCAGCGGGTGACCCACTGTACGTGTGCTCGGACGGGCCGACACTTGGCCACGTTTACCCGTCAGCCGGGGTCGAGCCTGTACACACTGGCTACTGAGTCTCTTCCGGTTGCTGAGCCTGGTCAGGTAGCTGAGTCGAGTCAGGTGTTTGCTGCAGCGTCCAGGTCTGGTCCTGAGTCTGCTCCCTGCTCGTGTCGTCTCCTGTCCCATCAGACTCTCCTCTGGCACCACCGCCTTGGTCACCCCTCCCTGCCTCGTCTCCGAGGCATGGCCTCCCGTGTCCTTGTCTCTGGTCTCCCCCGGTCCCTCCCTCCCCTCCCTCCGGGGCCTGCCCCTACCTGCGTTCCCTGCGTCGAGGGGCGGCAGCGCGCCGCCCCTCACTCCTCCGAGTTTCCTCCGACAGAGGCTCCGCTGCAGACTCTTCACGTGGACGTGTGGGGCCCCGCCCGCGTCCGTGGCCAGGGTCACGAGCGTTACTTCCTGTTGGTGGTTGACGACTACTCGCGTTACACCTCGGTGTTCCCCTTGCGCAGCAAGGGTGACGTCACTGAGGTGTTGATCGCCTGGATCCGCGCAGCTCGTCTCCAGCTCAGAGAGAGTTTCGGCTCGGACTTTCCTGTTCTACGTCTGCACTCTGACAGAGGCGGGGAGTTTTCCTCTGCCCTTCTGGGAGCCTTCTGTCGTGCACAGGGCATCCGCCAGACCTTCACGCTTCCGGCCTCTCCACAGCAAAATGGGATTGCTGAGCGCCGCATTGGCATGGTCATGGACATCGCTCGTACGTCCACGATACATTCGGTTGCTCCCCATTTTCTGTGGCCGTTTGCGGTGCAGTACGCAGCGCATCAGAAACCTTCAGCCCCGGGTCTCTTTGCCAGAGACCTCCCCCACCTTGCGGTGGACGGGGAAGGTTGGCGATGCGTCTGCGTTTCGTGTCTGGGGATCTCGGGCGTTTGTTCGCGACTTGTCTGCGGACAAGCTGTCCCCCCGTGCGGTTCCCTGCTTCTTCCTTGGCTTCCCCCCTGACGCGCCTGGTTGGCAGTTTTACCACCCCACCTCGCGCCGTGTTCTGTCCTCCCAGGACGTCACCTTTGACGAGTCGGTTCCTTACTACCGTCTCTTCCCCTACCGCACTGCACCCCTCCCCCCGCCGCCGCTCTTCCTTGCGCCAGGTCCCCCCCCGGTAGACCCCCTCCCCCCTCAGGGTCCTGCCCCGTCAGGTGTGTCCCAGGTAGACGCAGTCGAGTCTGTCGAGGTAGCTGTTGACTCTGGTACTGCTAGGGGTGCTGAGCCTGGGGGTGCTGAGTCTGGGGGTGCTGAGCCTGGGGGTGCTGAGTCTGGGGGTGCTGGGCCTGGGGGTGCGGAGCCTGGGGGTGCGGAGCCTGGGGGTGCTGAGCCTGGGGGTGCGGAGCCCGGGGGTGCTGGGTCTGCTCGTGTGGCCTCTGGCGGTGCTGGGTTTGGGGCCCCTTCGGGTGCTTCGTCGAGGCGGGAGCTACCCTCTCCACAGGAGCTGCGCGAGTGGTTTGCCCGGCGCTGGAGCCGTGCTGCTGGAGCTGGAGGTGCTGCTCTTACTGCTGACCCTGGGGTCGGCACTGGAGTTACTGGAGCCACTGGTCCTGGAGGTGCTCGTACTGGCGGTACTGGAGCTGCTGGGCCTGGGGGTGCTGCTGAGGCTGCTGGAGCTGACGGTCCTATTGGAGTTGGTGCTGCTGGAGCTGGAGCTGCTGGAGCTGGAGCTGCTGGGGGTGTTGGCGCTGGAGGTGCTGCTGGCGCTGGTGCTACCGCTGGGGGTACTGGTGCTGTCCCTGCTGGTTATGGAGGCGCTGCGCGGCCGCGGCCGTACTTCGTTCCGCTCCTTTAGTAGGTTCTTGGTCTCCCGCCCTCTACTGGTCCTGCTCCTCCCTTAGAGTGTCCACAGCCTGTCCAGTCGCGGTCACAGTTACAGCCCGCCTCCCCCCTACCTGCTCCTTCTCCCTACACTGGTCCTACTGGAGGTCTTGCTGAGCGTCGTGAGCCCGCGTCTCGTCCTGCTTCGCCTGTTCGTGCTGCTCGCACTTGTAGTCGTGCTCCGCGTCCGTGTCCTCCTGCGGTCCCAGGCACACACCAGATGGCACTGCGTCCTTCCACTGCTCCTCTGCGTGTCCCGTTGCCGTCTCCTCCAGAGTCCTCTCTTCCTGTCCTTGCTGACCCGGAGTCTGACTCTCTTCGTGCTGCCTGTCCTACTGTCACGCGTCTCCTGGCTACTGTTGTCACTGACCCTTCCTTTGAGTCCACTGCTGCGTCTGCCTTGGTTGCTGAGCTTGTCGACTTTGCTGCTCGCTGTTGTCTAGACTACGCTGCTAGTCTTGTTGCTGAGTCTGAGTCTGTCTGTCCTCCGTCCGTCGGGGGTGAGTGTGCTCTTAGCACGGACGTCCTTGAGGACAGGCAGGAGGAGTTCCAGTGTTTTGCTGCTGCTTTGCCTCATCTCGTGTCCACGCTGATTGCCCCTGAGGGAGACCCGGATGCACCAGACATCCCGACTCCTCGATCGTACGCTGAGGCGATCGAGGGCCCCTACTCCTCACAGTGGCAGTCAGCCATGGACGCAGAGATGGCTTCCTGGAAGTCCACAGGCACCTACGTCGACGAGGTTCCCCCACCTGGGGCGAACATCGTCAGTGGCATGTGGATTTTCAGGGTGAAGCGGCCGCCGGGTTCTCCGCCTGTCTTCAAGGCGCGTTACGTGGCTCGAGGCTTCAGTCAGCGGCAGGGAGTTGACTACTTTCAGACCTTCTCTCCCACCCCAAAGATGACCACTCTTCGGGTGCTGCTACACATAGCCGCTCAGCGCGACTACGAGCTTCACTCTCTTGACTTCAGCACAGCTTTCCTGCAGGGCAGCCTGCACGAGGAGATCTGGCTGCGCCGCCCACCTGGCTTCACTGGGCCCCATGCTCTGTGCCCCATGCTCTGTGCCCCATGCTCTGTGCCCCATGCTCTGTGCCCCATGCTCTGTGCCCCATGCTCTGTGCCCCATGCTCTGTGCCCCATGCTCTGTGCCCCATGCTCTGTGCCCCATGCTCTGTGCCCCATGCTCTGTGCCCCATGCTCTGTGCCCCATGCTCTGTGCCCCATGCTCTGTGCCCCATGCTCTGTGCCCCATGCTCTGTGCCCCATGCTCTGTGCCCCATGCTCTGTGCCCCATGCTCTGTGCCCCATGCTCTGTGCCCCATGCTCTGTGCCCCATGCTCTGTGCCCCATGCTCTGTGCCCCATGCTCTGTGCCCCATGCTCTGTGCCCCATGCTCTGTGCCCCATGCTCTGTGCCCCATGCTCTGTGCCCCATGCTCTGTGCCCCATGCTCTGTGCCCCATGCTCTGTGCCCCATGCTCTGTGCCCCATGCTCTGTGCCCCGTGCTCTGTGCCCCGTGCTCTGTGCCCCGTGCTCTGTGCCCCGTGCTCTGTGCCCCGTGCTCTGTGCCCCGTGCTCTGTGCCCCATGCTCTGTGCCCCATGCTCTGTGCCCCATGCTCTGTGCCCCGTGCTCTGTGCCCCGTGCTCTGTGCCCCGTGCTCTGTGCCCCGTGCTCTGTGCCCCGTGCTCTGTGCCCCGTGCTCTGTGCCCCGTGCTCTGTGCCCCGTGCTCTGTGCCCCATGCTCTGTGCCCCATGCTCTGTGCCCCGTGCTCTGTGCCCCGTGCTCTGTGCCCCGTGCTCTGTGCCCCGTGCTCTGGTTCCTATTCCCCATCTCGCCAAACCTCCACCCGCCCCCGCCCCTTTCCAATCCCTACCCCTCATGGTTGTCCCCTTCCTCCCTTTCCCCCACCCGTTTTCTTCCTCCCGCATGAGGTTGGGAGGAGGGCAGGAGAAAGAAATTCGAGGGTGGAGTGTCGTCCACTGCGGCATGTCTCAACCTCTCTCCCTCTCCCCCTCCTCCTTCCTTTCTCTCTGCCCGCCGCTCCCTTCCCCTGTTCCTCCTCGCAGGGGGGGTGCACGCCGCCATGCACAGCATAGCGGAGTGCATGGCAGCACTCTCCGCCGCGCCCTTCCTCATCTCCTCTGTGGGGGATGACGCTGCAGGCAGGTCGCACTGCTGCTGGCAGGTCGCAATGCTGCTCTGCTCTGCTCCCCATGCCACTCCCCTCCTCCTCTCCTGCTCCCCTCCAGCCCGCCACTGTCCACCCCCCCCCTCTCTCACGACCCTCTACGCCCATGGCTCACCCTTTCTCCCCCTCATCCCTGCTTCACCTCATTTCCCTCCCTACACCTCATTTCCCTCCCTGCTTCACCTCATTTCCCTCCCTGCTTCACCTCATTTCCCTCCCTGCTATCCCTGTTTGTACCCTCCTGCTTCCCTTATTTTCCCCCCAGCTTCCCCTCGTTTCCCCCCTTGCTTTCCCTCGTTTCCCCCCCTGCTTCCCCTCGTTTCCCCCTCGGGAAGGGGATGGGGGGAAACAGGGAGGGGGATGGGGGGAAGCAGGGGAGGGGATGGGGGGAAGCAGGGAAGGTGATGGGGGGAAGCAGGGAGGGGGATGGGGGGAAGCAGGGCAGGGATGGGGGAAAGCAGGGAAGGGGATGGGGGGAAGCGGGGAGGGGGATGGGGGGAAGCAGGGCAGGGGATGGGGGAAAGCAGGGAAGGGGATGGGGGGAAGCAGGGAAGGGGATGGGGGGAAGCAGGGAAGGGGATGGGGGGAAGCAGGGAAGGGGATGGGGGGAAGCAGGGAAGGGGATGGGGGGAAGAAGGGAAGGGGATGGGGGGAAACAGGGAGGGGGATGGGGGGAAGCAGGGGAGGGGATGGGGGGAAGCAGGGAAGGTGATGGGGGGAAGTAGAGGAGGGGATGAGGGGAAGCAGGGAAGGGGATGGGGGGAAGCAGGGAAGGGGATGGGGGGAAGCAGGGAAGGGGATGGGAGGAAGCAGGGGAGGGGATGGGGTGAAGCAGGGAAGGGGATGGGAGGAAGCAGGGGAGGGGATGGGGGGAAGCAGGGAAGGGGATGGGGGGAAGCAGGGAAGGGGATGGGGGGAAGCACGGGACGGGATGGGGGGAAGCAGGGGAGGGGATGGGGGGAAGCAGGGAAGGGGATGGGGGAAAGCAGGGGAGGGGATGAGGGGAAGCAGGGAAGGGGATGAGGGGAAGCAGGGAAGGGGATGGGGGGAAGCAGGGAAGGGGATGGGGGGAAGCAGGGCAGGGGATACGGGGTAAGAGGGGATAGGATGGGGGGAAGCACGGCAAGGGATACGGGGAAACAAGGAAGAGGATGGGGGGAACGGGGGCAGATGCCGGGGAGAGAGTTGAGGGGAGGATGGTGGGGAGCAGAGAGGGAATCAAAACGCTGTTCGACTGTGGTGGCGGAAGCGATCACCTCTGTTCCTCCCCATCTGTTCCTCCCCATCTGCCCCACCCCTTCGGAAGGAATGAGGGAGGAAGGATGGGCTGGAGATGGTGAGATGGGGAGAGGGGAAGAGCGGATGGAAACGCGGATGACGAGGGGAAGCGCGAGTGACTGGGAGGCAAGCCCGACGACGGGACGCGCGGGCGACGAGGGGAGGCGAGGGCGGCGAGGGTCGGCACGGGTGATGAGGGGAAGCGCGAGCGACGAGAGGGAATGTCGGTGACCAAGGGAGGTGAGGGCGGCGAGGATCGGTGTGGGTCGACGAGGGTGATGAGGGGAGCGCGGGTGACGATCTGAAGCGCGGTATGTTTACTACTAGCAATTGCGACGAGGGGTTGTGTGGTTAACGTGGTAGAGCGCGGGCAACTAGGGGAACATATGCGACCAGAGGGTCGGGGAGGGTAATGAGGGAAAGCGCGGGCGACGAGGAAAGCGGTCTGACGTGGGCAAGAGCGGCCGACGAGGAGGAACATGTGCGACTAACGGCTGAGTGCGTTACGCGAACCAGTACGGCATTCGCGTGAGCGACCCGTGCCTAAAACGGTACGATCGTGACACGAGGCTGAATGGCAGCAAGTGTGACAAGATCCTGCGTGTGCGACGCGAGCTTGAATGCAAGACTCGAGTAACGCGAATCTCGTTTACTAACGTAAGTGCCGTGGGTATACGGGTTGTAACGCGAGACCGGTGACGTGAGGGAGAGATCGGAGCGTGCACTGACTAAGATGGTTGAGGTGGACATATATTTCCTTCAGCACAAAAAAAAAGCCTATCAACGACTCGCTTTTGCCAACTAGCGCTCGTTTTTGCCTTGGAGCCTCCTAGCCTATGAGTACTACTTGGTAAGCAAGTTATGTGAGTGGTGAACAGTACAAATGGTTGGCGATCATCGCGTCAGTTCTGGTTTTGGGCACTCGGTTTCCGTTGTCGCAGGACGATTGCGGAAAATCACTCTACAACGGTAGTGAGCTAGACTACGGGGGTTGGCACAAACTACTACGAGTGATCGTAGCTTTGCTTGGTTCCTTAGTGCTTGCACATTCACGGGAGAAATCGGCAAGAGTTTCCACTAGCAAAGTTGGAATTCCAGAATGATTGAACAAGCAATGACAGAATGACTACATCAGGCACCTAGCAACCCTGCCGCTAGCCTGGTCGACCGCCAGCACAGCTCGGTCGACCGCCTGCCAGCGTTGCGTAGAGGGGCCGCACCAGCACTGCGGAAAGGTGACCTGCCAACACAGCAGGTCGACGGCGTGCCAACGCTGCAGCGGAGCGGCTGTCCAGCGTTGCCCCGTAGAACACAGCAGTGCGCACGCTCGCAGATGCGCGCAGACAATTGGCCCGACTTGCCTCGTTGGGCATCCGTCGGCTGTTGTCTGCGCCTGACGAGCCACATCGACTTCGGGATACTAGCCCGCAGTCGCCTGCGCCATCGCAACCTCAACGACGTTCGCGTGCCTCCGCAGAACTCGTCGACCACCAGGTGCTTCCGGTCGACCACCACTGCTTCTGGTCGACCACCAGGTCCCTCTGGTCGACCACCAGGTGCCTCTGGTCGACCACAACTCCCGTCGAGCTACCCCCTGGTCGACGGACCCCTTCCGTCGACCAGAACCATCAGCGGTTGTCGCCGAGCTCCCCTCGTCGACCGCTGCTCACTTGTCAGGTCGACGGACTGCTCCGTCGACCTCCCGATCGAACTGCAGGTCGACGAAATGCTCCGGAGACCTCCCGGTCGAGCGGCAGGTCGACGGAATGCTCCGGAGACCTCCCGGTCGAACGGCAGGTCGACGGAATGCTCCGGAGACCTCCCGATCGAAAGGCAGGTCGACGGGATGCTCCGGAGACCTCCCGGTCGAGCTGCAGGTCCTGGTCGACGTCCCACCTGTCGCCCAGACCAGTCAGTTGCAGCTGTCGAGCTCCCTGGTCGACAGCATCACCACAGTGGTCTCCTGCAGCTCGACGAAGCCTGTCGAGCAGCTCTCCCACTGTGAACGGTCGGCTGCTACTCCCGTACATCCGACCAAGTCGTCGGCGTTGCCCAAGCAAGGGCGGGGCCAACACTCCATTCCTGTTAACACTCCCCTGCCGCGCTCACGCTTGGGCCTCCAGCCCACGCGGCAGTACTCCACGGAGAAAACTCGTCCTCGGCGTCCACCCCACACACAGCACGCTGTCACCGCACCAGCCGTGCAGAAGGGCACGGCACCTACTGCTGCACCTCGTCGTCGCTGTCGCCGACATCGGCCAGGCGAACTTGGCCGATGGCGACCGAGCACCGGTTGAAAGCCGGAAAATACAGCGCCTTCGTCAGGAAGTCCGCCTGCTGCTCGGTGGTCGGGATGTACTTCAGCACGAATTTCCCGCACCTCACCATGTGCTGTAGCCAGGCGTAGCGTTGCTCCATGTGCTTGAGGTTGCCCGTCAACCCCAAGCCCTCAGCGACCGTGATTGCCGACTTGTTGTCGACGCGGAGGATGGTCGGCTTCCCAGAGTCGAGCAGCTTGAATTCCGCAAGGAGGAAGCGAAGTCGACGCCCCTCCTTGCGGGCATCCGTGGCCGCCACGTACTCCGACTCTGTCGATGACAATGTCGCGCACTTGATGCGCGAGCTCGACCAGGAGATGGCGGCCCCTCCATAGACAAACACGTAGTCTCCCGTGCTCGTCCGGTTCTGCTTGTCGCCCGCATCGTCGGCATCGACGTAGCCGATCAACTCCAACGATTCTGGTTCACCGCCAAACTCCAGGGCGATGTCGCGGGTGTCGGCGAGGTAGGCGAGGCAGCGGTCGACCTCGCGCCAATGCTGGTTGCTCCTCACCGTGAGGCCGCTCCCCAGCTTGCTGCAGGCGAACGCGATGTCCGGCCTCGTTGTCGTCGCCGCGAACTGCAGCGAGCCGACCTTCTGCCGGTACTCCTCCTCTTCGCGCTCCTGAGCCTCCTCGTCGTCGAACGTCAGCTGAGCGTAGGCGTCGACCGAGACCGGCGTCTTCGGAACTCGACCGCCCTGCTCCTCGTCGATGAAGCCCTGCGCAGCTTGTCGGCGTAGCCCTGCTGGTGCAGCCACAGCTTCCTGGCCGGCCTGTCGCGCACGATCTCCAGCCCAAGGTACTTCACCACCGGCGAGATCTCACACAGCTCGAAGACAACCTCCAGCAGCTCCTTCAGCTCCTTCAGCATCGCGGTGCTGCTGCTGGCGGCAAGCAGGTCGTCGACGTAGACCAGCACCCAGCAGATCACTCCGTCATCGCCGGCCTTGAAGTAGAGCGCCTCGTCGACCTGACTCTTCTTCCAGCCAGCGCTCAGCAACACACTGTCGACAGCCGTATACCACAGCAGCGGCGACTGCTTCAGCCCGTAGAGGCTCTTCAACAGCTTGCACACCCGGCCGGTCCCGTCGTCGAAGTAGTCCGGCTGGTACATGTAGAGCACCCTGTCGAGCTTGCTCTGCAAGAAAGCGTTCTTCATGTCGAGCTGCATCAGATGGAGGTCGAGGACGGCGACGATGCTGAGGAGGATCCTCAGCGTGACGTAGCTGCTCACCGACGAGTACGACTCGTCGTAGTCGGCACCGTACACGTGCGTGAAGCCCTTCACGACCAGCCTCGCCTTCTCGCGCTCGACGGTGTCGTAGATTCGGTACTTGGTCGTCAGCACCCACCGGTTCTTCATGATGTTCACCCCGCGTGGGCGTTCGACCAGCTCCCAAGTCCCCATACCGATGAGGCTGCGGATCTCTTCTTCCATGGCGGCCTTCACCGCCTCACCCTTCCAGCTCGACAACGCCTCCTTCACCGTCATCGTGGCGATGTCCCAGCAGTGTTTGGGGTTGGCATGCACGTCAGGGTCGAGCTCCGGCAGGTCTTCATCCTCCTCGGCGCCGTCGTACAATAGGTCGTCGTCGACCTCGTCGAACACCGTGGTGAAGGCAGCTGGCGGTAGGCAGGTGTGGAAGCTCAGCCGCTCCGGTGGCCGTCGAGCTCGACCTGTGCGTCGCAACTCAGGCTTCGCGATCGGCACTTCCACCACGTCACTGTCGGTGGACTCCTCACCCGCCGACTGCTCCCCTTCCTCGTCGACATCCTCATCGTCGACCAGCTGCTTCGACCCTTCGACCGGCTGCTCGTCTGCTGCAGACTTCGACAGCTCCCCTGTCGACCGCCCCGGCTGCTGCTCCCCTGTCGGGTGCACCGCTGCTGTTGCCTCCTGTTCGACAGGCTCCCCTGTCTGCTGCTCCTCTGTCGCCAACGGCTTCCCATCCTGGTCGACGAGCTTGACGCCTTGTCGACCGCCGGCGATGCCATGGGCCGGCGCCACAGGCGACGCCTCAAGGCTCCCCTCATCGTCGGTGGTCGACACAGGTGCCGACCCAAGCCGATCTGCGACGGGGAACGGAGGAGCAAGGACAGGGGAAGGGGGAAGAACCTCCACAACATCCTCAACAGCAGGCTCGTCGACGTCGGCGAGCAACGGAACTGTCGCCGTCAAGGTGTCCGTCGGCGGGTGCGCCTGCGTCCGCCCTGACGCCGGCCCATACTTCGCCTTCCACACCTCCAGCGACAGCGTCTCGTAGAAGATCACCTCGACCGACGTGACCACCTTGTTGTCGGTCAGGTCGAGCACCTCCCAGCCCTTGCTCTCCGACGACACACCCAGGTGAATCCCCCACCGAGCCTTCGGCGCCAACTTCCCACCGCGCTGCTGCTCGAGAACCATGAACTGCACCATGCAGCCCCACACCCGCGCCAGCGTAAGATCGGGCTTCTTCCCGGTCAACAGCTGGTACGGAGTCGTCCCCGGCGGCGTC